GGGCAGAGACAGAGGGAGACACAGAATCCGAAGCAGGCTCCAGGCTCTGAGCTGTCAGCACAAAGCCCAATGCAGGGCTTGAACTCACAAACCACGAGATCATGACCTGAGCCGAAGTTGGACGCTTAACCGACTGAGCCACCCAGGCGCCCCAAAAGTACGAAATATTTTTAAAAGCATGATAATTTTTTTTATAGTGATGAATGCTATAAAGACAGTAGGACCAAGTTGTGATCCACACTGTGGCCAGGCTGACCTAGGGCAGTCAGGGTTGTCTCTGAGGAGGTGCTGGGTGAGTTGAGAGCTCTGGCCGCTGGAAGATCTGGGGATGTTCCTGCCAGAGGGAAGTGCCTGGAAGAGAGAGGAAGTGAGCTTGTTGCATGAACCGAAAGCAGACCTGTGTATCTGCAGGGCAGTGAGCTGAGTTGGAAAGCCTTGCAGCCATGATAGTGAGTGTGGATTTATTATAAGAGCAATGGGACACGACTGAAGGTTTGAATAGGGTTCTACACAAAGTAAATGAAGAGATTCAAAGAAAGTTTGATGTAAATCAATTGAATGAAAAAAAAAAGAATAAAAAAAGGGAAGTAAACTTTATATAAATCTTTTTATCAAAAAGTGAGTTTTATAATACAAATTTCAGCATTTGACTTTGCACTTTCTAAACCCCTCTTGGCTAATCCAGATTCTTCAGAAACCGTTTTGAGTACCACGTTTGCTGGTCAGTTATTTTCACATCATTCTCCCCTGCTCCCCCCCACCCCCCCGCCTTTTTTTTTTTTTTTCCATACTTTCATTCTTTCCTTGTTCTGTTCTTTCATCTCCTCTGGCAGCCCTTGTTATTCTGGCCTTTTCCACTGCACTTTCAAGAATGCTAACTACTAGGCAGATTACACGGTCATTGTAACATTCAGATTCATCAGCTTGGCATTCACAAGTAATCAGTTTATCCATCTTATAATCCATCAGCATCAAGTACCTTTTTTTTTCAATTAAAAAAAAATTTTTTTTAATTTATTTTTGAGAGACAGAGAGCGAGGAGGGGAGGGGCAGAGAGAGGGAATGAGAGACAGAGACACAGAATCTGAAGCAGGCTCCAGTCCCTGAGCTACCAGCCCGACATGGGGCTTGACTCACAAGCAATGAGATCATGACCTGAGCCGAAGTCAGATGCTTAACCAACTGAGCCATCCAGGTGCCCCAACATCAGGTACCTTTTGTGAGCCAAATTCTGCACCCATCTTTTATCATGGTGATAATTAAGTGAGCAATTCTTGTTTTAAGAGCTCCCCACAGATGTGTCTTATGAGAACTGCTTTAGAACTTTACAATTTTTATGAAGCCTAATATTACTCTCTTTGGGACCTCCTAGGTAAATCAGAGCTTCCTCAGGAGGTATCAGTTAGATAACAAAATGCATATATTGTCTGGATCTAGCCGCCTTTAGTTCCAATTTATTCTGGTTCCTCTTCAGACAAGCTTTTTGTTTTCCTCAATAATCAGCTATTTCTCAGAGACTCTTAAGAGTGGGGGATCTGGGAAGTGTTTTGAATCTGTGGGATTCTGGGAGGCCTTTATGGGGGTACAAGGATGCACTTGGACAGCCCAGTGCTGGTGTTAGGGAAATAGGACTGTGAGGGCTCACTCACTCATCTGTACGTTGGCAAATAGCAAAAGATAGCCTTGTAATAGAGAGAAAAAAAAAATCTCAAAGGGGAAAGGAATAATAAAATCATGCTGGTTTATGGTTTGTCAGTCCAAAAAGCTTTTAAGCCATCTCTATAAAGGTGGATTCACTTAATGTTTGTTCTGCATTTCAGGCATCATTGTGTGGTAAGTGGGGTAAATTTAGCCTCTTTAAGCTTGATCTCCTAGGGGTTGAGTTTTAAGCATTGGAACTTTATTTGAAAGGGCTCTTATCGATTGGGCTTTTATTTGGTACCTCCTTACTAAAGAGAGGTACTAAATAATGGTTTGGCCTCCCTGTTAGGTTTTTTTTTTTTTTTTTTTTTTTAATTCACTTTATAGGTCTCTCTCTCTGCCCCTGTTCTCCACCTTCTATTTCTAACTGTTCTGCTTAAAAAGACTAAAGTGGTATGAGAGAGGGGAAAAAAGGGAAAGAAAAATCAACTGTCACGTTGTGAACATAATTGATTCAATAAATAACGTCTTTCAATTCCCAAGGCAAACCTCAAAGTCTTCACTTATGTCAATTAGTGTTCAGCTCAGTAAGTGGTGGCGTTCTTAATTTAGACGGATGGGGAGAGTTCACCAGCGCTCACTTCCGAAGGAGGGACTGTGCTTTTCTGGTTTTAAAAACACACCACCAGATATATGGGCCCACTCTGCAAAAAGAAGGTTGAAACGGAATTATTGTGGCCGTTTTTATTCTTCCTTAAAATGGAAGGAAGGCATTTAATTATTGTTTAGGGTTTTGTTGAAACAAACAAATGGAAATAAGGGAAGTAAGATCTACTAGACTGTATGCTCCATACAGGGGTTTTGTCTTGTTGGTTCACTGTTTAATCTCTGGTGTACACAGTAGGTGTGTAATATTTGTTGAGTGAATCTGTTGGTGATTGAATGAGAGTAGAATGAGTGCAATTCATATCTTAGGGTAAGAATTCAATTACATTTTATTCCACTGGTGGTTTCATTCCCCCCCTCCCTCCCCCACCCGCTCCTTCATTTCTTCTCTAATTCTTTGCGGGACTGCAGGGTGTACCGTGTCTTCCAAAATGATTAAGGAGGACTATTCCATCCATCCCCAGACTGGCAGAATTGGAAGGGATCTTGGAGGTGATGTCAGGCTGCCATTTACAAGTTCTAGTAGATGAATCATTTGTGCTTCAGAACCACAACTGGAAATTCTGATTGTGTGGGTCTCAGCAGGGCTTGGGAATCTGTATGTGCCTCTGTGAGTTTCTCTACCAGTTCCTGTTCAGTCCCTGTTCGGCCTTGCTGTCCCCTGAGCTATCCGATCTCAGTTACTCCTTGGTAAAAGTGATGCACCTGAGGTACCCAGAAAAATTCCCGGCAGGGCTGTGACCAGGACCCGCCTCTCTCCACCCTGATAGCAGTGCTCCTGGCCTTGGAGCTTGCTGCCCCCTCTCCGTGCTCCTCAGCATTCAATCTGCATCCTTTGGTGCTTTTTTCTTGCAGGACAGTGGCAGTGTTTGTGGCGATGGCTAGCCACAATCTAAAGGACCATCTGAAACCTCAAGGAAACGTTACATTTTGTTTTGTGTACTTTGGTACTCAGTATATTTTATGGTCTTCTCTAGAGGCTCCCTTCTTGTTGTGGTGCAAAATAAATCCCTGGTAGGAAGCCCCTGTCTTTCTCTTGTGGCTCACTCCGTGTTTTTCCGGACCTGCCTGATCATGAGAATCACCTGGGTGTTTGTTAAAGGTACAGAACTCTGGGGCCTGCTTGAGTCCTATTAAGTCAGAGTCTTCTGTGAGGGGCCTGGGGACCTGTGTTTTATTTATTTATTGATTGATTGATTGATATTGTAACGTTTATTTATTTTTGAGACAGAAAGAGACAGAGCATGAACGGGGGGAGGGTCAGAGAGAGAGGGAGACACAGAATCTGAAACAGGCTCCAGGCTCTGAGTGGTCAGCACAGAGCCCGATGCGGGGCTCGAACTCATGGACCAGGAGATCATGACCTGAGCCGAAGTCGGACGCTTAACTGACTGAGCCACCCAGGCGCCCCTGGGGACCTGTGTTTTAGGTTAGCTTGGGTCATTAGTGTTCCCTGTAAACTCCTTTCCCATCCCTGAGAACAGTGACTTCCATTCCACCAGATCCAGCTCTGACGTCCTTAAAACCTTTGTTCATAATTACACCATCACCCTGTCTTTCAATCTGAAGATTTATCCTCTTGTCTGCACAACTTGGTCTTGAAGGAGAAGGGAGGGAATATCTGCTTTCCTCTTTCCTCCAGAGTTGATTTTGACTGGCTGGCGGGTGACAGGTCGGCATGTGCAGTCACAGAGTGAGCACGTGGGAAGGGTCAGGGGAGCCTCTGAAGCCCGAATAGAGTGCCTGTGTTCTTGCCCTGCTTTATTGCTCAACAGATGTATGACTTTGGGAAAATTGCTTAAACCTCTTGGAGTTACTGTTTCTTCATCTGTAAAATGGAAGTAAGAATTGTACTTGTTCTGGGGTTTTGTGTGTATTAAATAAGGCATCCGAGACCAGCTCTCCAGACAGACTCCGAGACGGAGACTTTTATGCAGAGGGTTACTGGACAGGGCCCTCAGAAACAACTCTACCAGGGGAATAGGGGAGACAGGATTATGCAGGAGGTGAATGTGAACCGTGGTAATGTTGCAGTGAAGGTCTCAGCTGATCCCATGGGGACTTCTAGACATGGAGTGCCCTTCACTGGTTTCTGGAGTTAAGGGAAGAGAGCTGGGCCTTTAGACCCCTATGTCCACCAGTCGTTGGATGTGGGTTGCTCCTGGAGAGGAGACGTGACCTGAGTTTAGGCAGCTGCCTTTGGCTGAGGGCTCTGTGCCCTTAGCAGCCTACAGTGCTGGCAGGTGGGGAAAGGGAGCTGAGAGGCCGGAAGGGTGTCCATGGTGCCACTGCCCAGGATGGTGCTCGTGAAAACCTGAGCAGCCAGCATAGCACATTTATAAATGCTCAATAAACACTAATTATTACCATTATTATTTCAGTTCTGGCAATGTCACTTAGCAGCTGGACCTGTGTTTTGAGAAGTTACTTGTGTTCTCTTGGACTGCTTTCTTATGTTTAAAATGGAGATTCTAAACTCTCCTGTGCCCACTTCCCTTGAGTAGTTCTGAGCACATGTAGAGAAAATGTATGTGAACTTGGTGAGAAAAATACTATAAAAATGTAAGGTATGACCATGAGCCTACTTTTCTGGAATGAGTATATGGCCATGACTTGGATTCCTTGGAGGGAAAGGGCTGTGATAAATGTAAAAGTGCTTGTTGCATTTTGATTTTTCTTTCTTCTCTCTCTAGGGAATTAGAATAATGGAGATGCTGCTAAAGGAACAGTGTGGTGCCCCCTTAGCTGAATAAAGAATCCGCAGTGAGTACCAAAAACAAAATCAGAATTCTTTCCTCCAGCCATGTTTTTAGGCTCTTAAGCCCTGTATTGTGCGTCAGCCTCCCTGGGCTGTTCATGCTGTACATTTCCCAGTTATATGCAGAGGATCCTGTCTCACAGGTGTTTCGTTTTCTGTTCAGTACCTTCATTTACTTAGTTCTTTGATTTTCAGAGCAGTTTTGTACCTCGTGCTGGGTTACAACGGCATTCAAATTGTTGAAACCGCTCAGCACAATCCAGCGTGATTACGATCTGCAAGGTGCCATGGATTTGTAGACTTCGGTGCAGGATTAACTGAACCTTAATTTTATTGTTCTGGGGACAATGGAAGGAGAGGGTTAAAGCTGTCTTTGAAGTAGGAAGGAAAACAAGGAAGGGGCATGTTTTGATTGGCCAGTGAAATAACTGTATTTTGTTAGTCATGTATATACTTCCTCTGGTTGGCAGTGGCTGCCTGAAATGCTATTGAGAAGGATTCTGACATTTTGAGCATAATATCAGGCTCTGGGTAAGGGTGCCTGAGTGATTAGTAATGTTGGCCACGGGCAGAGGATGGGAGAAAGCGCTAGTGCTAGACCTCATACCGTCTCTAGTGTAAGACAAATGCTGTAGGGTTCCCAGGTGGCAGGGGGAGTTTAGACTTGCTTAATTTTTTTTTCTTAACTTTTTATTGTCTGCATGAAGAAGGGTGTCCATAGTGGAAAGGACAGACCAGAGTTATTTAAGAGAGAACCAAAGCCTAAAATAAATGAGTGTAATGGATTTGCATCTTCCCAAATTTATTGGAGTTAAATTTTTAACATGTGAGAGAAGGTAAAGCCATTGAGTAAAGAAAACGCTCTCTTGGGTAATTCATCATTACCTCAGATTTCCCTTATGTTGGCTTAAAATTGTAGGACACATAGTTTTGTATAAGCAACCTTGGACTCTAATTGTGATCTAGAATAAAGTTTGAGAACAATTAACCAAAGAAAAAACAAAATGAACATTTATGTACAAGTACTTCAGCACTGAGTGCATGCTGGCAGATCTATGAATAGATTTATTCATTACTGGGGAGGCTAAATAAGATAATTCCATTTAGCACAAGCATGGCACATGGCAGGTGCTCAAAAAATGTTGAAATGGGATCTAAATATGGTCTGTTCCTAAATCCACTCTGCTCTTTGAGAACATTTTTATGAAGCATTTTTGTGAGGCTCACAAAGCACCTGGGTGCAGATCCCTTCTTATCCTGGAGGGTGGGATCTAAAGTCAGCTCCAAGTGAAATGAAAGACTGGGAAGGGACTCCACTTACAACTATACGCTGGTTTCCAAACTTCAGGTTAATGATTTTGGAACATCACTGAACCTCAGAATCCTCTGGAGGATTTGTTAAGCGTAGATCGGTGGGCCCCACTCTCAGTTTCTGTGTAAGTAGGTCTGGGGTCGGGTCCTAAGATTTGTGTTTCTAACAGGTTTCCAGGTGATGCTGCTGTTCTTGGTCCAGGGACCACACTTTGAGAACGATTGCTCTAAATGAGGTCTTATCTCTGAATGAAGACAGATTAAATATAAGGGCACCGAGGAAGCTAATAGCTGGGGTTTTGAAATTGTTGTCATGCAGTCTATTGACTTTAGATTAATCAGAGGAATGATCTTCTTGTGTGGTTTTTCCCTGATTTTAGGGTCTCGGTGCTTGTTTAACTGCTTTTTTTCTCCCCCTGCTTAAATGTGGACAAGCTCCACAGTGGTGTAAAGACGACTGAAAAGAACAGAGATGAGACTCACACCAACTTCTGTTTTTGATTTAAAATGCTTTTAGTGAAATGAGCAGATTAAACAAGCCTTACTGGTTGTCACAAATATGCATGTTCTTGTGGGTTTGCTTGTTTTGTTTTTACTGTGGTTGAAAGCTGATCAGGGCTCTTTATTGTTTCTAGAAACAACTCGCTCTTCTCTTTCAAGTGAAGTGTCTGTGAAGGACAGTTGCATTCAGGGCATTTAATGCAACAGAGTGTTTGAAGGATTTACCTAATTCAGACTGTTTTAATTCATGACCGGGTGTCTCAGGGCGGTAAATGGAAAGTAAGGGGAATATACTTTTACCACATGAATTTACAGTTACTGCCAATTAGAGCTTGTAGCTGAGGCTTTAAAGCTTTTTTTTTTTTCAATGTCCACTTCACTGAAGTATTATGCATGTACAATTAAATTCACCAATCCCAAGTGTACATTTTGGTGAGTTTTGACAAATAGGTGTAGTTACGTAAGCATCACAAAAAATCATAACATACAACACTTTATGGCTTTGTGGTGCTGCCGTGTTTTTGCCAGTTTGTTGCTTCCCTTTTTTTCTTGACTATTACAAAGCTTTGGCAAGCTTGAAATGTGCCTGTTTTAATGGGACTTCTTCTGTTTTCAAAAGTGGCTCTATGGAAAATGGGAGAATGGTTGTGGGTTGGGGGAACTACTGTTTTTATGAGCAATAAAATGCCACATTAAACGGAAGGGGGGCAGGTATCAGGGCTAAGGCTGTAGAAGAAGGGTCAGTCACTTGTTGCCCTCAGGCCAAACCCAACCTGCTCTCTGCTTTTGTAAATAAAGTTTTATTGGCACACAGCTATGTCCCTGGCTTTGTTATGGCTGCAATGGCAGAGTGAATAGCTGTGACAGAGAGCTCTTCTCCAGCAAAACTTAAAATATTTATTGTCCTTTAAGAAAAAGCTTTCTGTCCTGTAGGTTGTGGGAAATTAAGACCAGGGAACCTGGTAGTGGTTGTTTAGCCTTTTTTACATTGCATTTGATCACCTTACCTATATTCCAAAGTTAATAGTTTATTTTGTCTGTATTAGCTTTAACATCACCACTCGGCTGATTTTATTTTAAGACATAAAAAAGCACTGAAATGATCACAACAGTGAAGTTAAAATATCAGAGGCAGTGATCATTAAAATTGCTCATGAAGTTCCAGTGCACGTGCATAATGGAGTAGAAATGTAAGCATTTTGTGTAGCAGATAAGGTAGCAGCACTGTGATGTGGCAGTGGTGTAGGTGCTGGGTACAGTCAGTGTACTCAGTTTGCCAGTTGGGGAATTTTGCAGTTCTTAAAAACGACAACAACAACAACATCATTCCATGGGGGTTTGCACGAATGCGCATAGGGAGACATTATTTACTATTTTTATATCCTACCACATTTCAAATTTGCATGATTTAAATTCACATAGAATGTGGCCACCTTGGATATGGTGCCCAGTCCTAAAGATACTCCCCAGAACTCTCTGGCCGTGTATCCACGTGGGCATTTGAAAATTAGAAAGCTTAGAAGGTGATTTTATCATGAACCAAAATGGAGGCACATACATCTCAGTAACCAATATGCTTGTAGAGTTGCTGCTGACACATCCGTTTGATAGATTTTTGATTTCCTGTCATTTTTGAATAAAACAAATAGCCCTGACATCTGTTTGTTCTTGCCGCTGGCAGTGGGGAGACACAGCTCGGTGAGGTTTGATCACATAGCAGAGTTCCTTCACGCTGGAAAGATTAAGACCTCCGTTTTAGCTATATCTTAACTCCCCTTTGAACCAGCTCCTCTGGGTAGCTGGGCTTTATAAAATAAGGTGCTGGCTTTGTTCGAAGATCATTAGGAGGCAGAATTATCCACAGTGATGGAATTCAAGTGACCCTTAAGAGTTGCTTTAGAAAAGAGGCAAATAAGTATTGATTGGGGAGACCTGTTTATTAGGTGATAAAGCCAACTTGCTTTCTCTTGCAGGGGACCTGTGTTGTCCTAATTTGCTCAAGAATCACTTCTTGGCCCCAACACATCACTGATGCAGTTTTTGAAATCCAACTTTAAGGATACACTGTTGGCAGCTTCAAGAAGAGGAGACCCTCCTTCCAGGACATGAAATGATACACTCCCCTGGGAGCCTGCCTCAGATAGTGGCACTCATGGACCTGAGACCTGCTAGCTGGGTTTTTATGGCACAGTCTCTTTATGATTTACAAATAAAGGAAAAAAAAAACCATAGAAGGTGACATCTGCCCTTCTTCAGGATGTCCTGCTGACTGCCTGGTGACAGTGTCAGGGAAGCCAAGGACAGGCTGGAGGCCTGGCGAGTGGTGCTGGTGCCCATATGTTATCAGCCTCATTGCTCATGGGATTCATGAGAAGATTCTGGGACGGATAAAGGAGTTAAACCTGATGCCTGATGCATGAGTGTCCTACAACAGAAAGGAATATACCAGGCCAGTGTTGAAGCTAGGCTACATTTAGAGTAATGTTTGGTTCTCAGAAATTGAGAGCATTTAATGTCTACCCATAAGTACTACTTAACTGTCACCAGTATGGCTTTTATAATGTAACCTGTCCACAGTATGATTTGGTCTTCTGAAAGAACATGGGTTGGAGAGCGGGAAGGCAGGGGGTGACTTTGACATTATGTGACATGGAACGCAGCATGAACCTCTCTGTGTTTCCCTGGCAAGTGGGGCTACCTGGGCACAGGTGTTCTGTGTAGTGATGATTAGACAAGGAAGGGAGTTTAGTATGAAAAGCACAGGTTTGGGAATTTGACAGAACAAGTGTTACCACCTACTAGCTCAATGATTGATCATCTACATAATTTTCAATTTTTCCAAAGCTCCTTCTTTTTCATTGCACAACGAGGTTATAGAATTAACTTTGTGAGGTGGTCGGATCGATTTGGGATTGTGTGTATAGAGTGCCTAGTACGCTACCTGTTGCATCGTAGAAGTCTAGTACCTAGATGCCATTACTATGTGAAACCATTTTGAAAATGTACTTTTCAAATGTAATATGAGGTAGTATTACTGTTTGAAAATTAGGTGACAGTAGTTTGCATTTACCATGATTGGAAGCCAAAATATAAGTGCACACTACCTAATAGGAAGCTTGAAGAGAGGCAGTAATTTGGAATTCATCTGCTTAAGATAAAAATTGGGCCATTACTGGGAAGTCTTGGGGAAATT